TTTTTTTTTTTTTGAGACGGACCCTCAAGCTATTGCCCTGGGTAGAGTGCCATGGCATAACAGCTCACAGCCACCTCCAACTCCTGGGCTTAAGCTTTCTCTTGCCTCAGCCTCCTGAGTAGCTGGGACTACAGGCACCCGCCACAACACCTAGCTATTTTTTGGTTGTAGTTGTCATTGTTTGGCAGGCTCAGGCCGGATTTGAACCTGCCAGCTCTGGTATATGTGGCTGGTACCTTATCCACTTGAGCTACAGGCACTACCCTACCAGGCTATTTTTTTTAGAGACAAGATCTCGCTCTTGTTAGACTGGTCTTGAACTCCTGAGCTCAAGGGATCCTCCTGCCTGGGCCTCCCAGAGTCCTGGGATTATAGGTGTGAGCCACCAGGCCTGGTTGCCCTACACCCATTTTAATGCATGGAAGGTGTTCACTACATAAATACTATTTAGCAGTCCCCCAAAGTTGCACGTAGGGATGGTCTGCAGTAACAAAAAACTAGGGGTACATTCACAGTTGCTCTATCAGGATCCATCCCTGGGGTCTGCCCCTCCCAGGGCTTATTTGAGACATGTGGGCAAATGGCTCTGCCAGGGTAGGGAGCTCCAGTTTCTTCAGACCCCTACCCTGTGGAACCTGGTTGAAGAGGAGGCACCTTTGATGATTTTTGCCCATATCTGAGGGATGCGCAGCCAAGGACTGGGGAACACAGTGGGGGAGTAGAGAGAGTGGAGGTTGTAGGATGTGGGAGGCAGAAGTTGGACCCTCTGCAAGTACCACGTGGACACAAAGGACCACAGCTGGGCACTTAGGACTTCCTGTCCTTAGAGAGGAGACCTCTTAGGACCTTAGAATCTGGCCTCCTCAGCATCTCTCACATATGGGCTAGGGCAAGGGAGCCCAGTTAGGAGGTGGGCAGGCTGTGGAGAGGAGGCAGGATTTGGGGGCCAGGCCTGGGTCCTGCAGTGTAGGAGTGAGGACAGGCCCTGACTCCTACTATACTTGGCCCAGGCACTGTTACAAGAGGAACCTGGCTGTGAACCCACAGGGGGGAAACACAGGCATGGTGGGGGGCAGCGTCCCTGTCTTTGACGAGATCATCCTCTCCACTGCCCTTATGAACCAGGTCGTCAGCTTCAACAGTGTGTCTGGTAAGCTTGTGCTGCCCATCAGGGCTGCAGTGGGTCCCTCCAAGTGTCAGTGGGAATTTTCCTTGTCAGCCACCGGGACTATGCTGGAGGGTTGGGCTGCCCTGGACTAGGAAAGAGGCAGTCCTGCCCTGCCATGCCCCTTAGGATGTGTTTGCCATGAGGTCCCCTATGTGACTTATCCTGTGGGCCTGCTTTAGTCCCTTCCAATTCCAGCCCTCTCTGGAGGTGTAGGAGGCAGGTGAAGAGAGAGAAGGGCTCGAGGACTCACAGGTGGACCCATGCATCAGGGCTTTTGCCTGGGAGCAGGGCTTCTCTAGCGCAAACTGGGCACTGGCTCCCTGGTTATTCTCTGTGGTCAGGGTGCCTGGGCACTGTAGAGTGTTGAGCAGTATCTTTGACTCCTACCAACAGATGCCAGCTGTATCCCCACCCCAAAATGTCACCAGACATTGTCAGGTGTGCCTGGGGGGCAGGTCACCCCAGTGGAGGTGTGCAGCTGTACAGCCAGCTCTCTCCTACTTCCATAGTGTGTGTGGGTTTTCTTGTTTTCTTGTCTTGCCCATTTTCTTCACTGTTGTAATCATAGAGTAACTCTGTCTGTTTGGTCTTATTCTTGGGGACACGTGGGAAGGGGGCGCCTCTTTTCCTTGGCCCAGGCTCTGAGGCTGATGTTCCTTCCCAGTGGCTGAGTGGCTCTGGTTGTGTTTGCAGGGATCCTGGTGTGCCAGGCAGGCTGTGTGCTGGAGGAGCTGAGCCGCTACGTGGAAGAGCAGGACTTCATCATGCCACTGGACTTAGGAGCCAAGGGCAGCTGTCACATCGGGGGAAATGTGGCAACCAATGCAGGCGGCCTTCGGTTTCTTCGATATGGCTCTCTGCATGGGACAGTCCTGGGCCTGGAAGTGGTGAGCCTTGGATACATGTTGGTTCCCAGCATAGCAGCCCTGGGGACAAGCAGGTTCCCACATCACTGGGAGGTACTGCAGGACAGTGATGGTGTGTCTGCCACCTCCCTGTTCACCTGGGATGCTGCAGGGGTGAGACATACCCGCAGACACTTCTGCCCTGGGCTGGGGCCCAGCAGCCCACTGGAAGGATGGTGGACACAAGGCCAACTCAGTCTGGAGCTAGAGCATTTTGGCTCCTGCTGAGCCTCACATCTCACCACCTTCCTAAGGGCAGAGCTTCCTGGCTCGCCTCCCAGTGGGTGGAGCAGACGCAGAGCCCTGTTTTTCTTCCATCTGATAAACCATGATGTTCCAATGGCTTTGTTTTCTGGCTGGCTGCTGGTTATTTTTACTGTAAGTCACGTCCTGGTATTTGCAAACTATACTGCTGAGACTCTACTCAGAAGTACCAGCAGACAAGACTCAGGCAGACCTATAGTGAGGGAATGTGAAGCCTTTACAGCTGAGGGGTCCTGAGGTGGGTGGGCCATGGGGTAGTGTGGCTCTCTGTCCCCTTTTGACCCCTAGGGATACCCGCTGCTTCACCCTGGGTGTACTCCCCCTTGGCACCAGGAATGCTTCCTGCCTTGGGCGGCTTCCCTTGACCAGCCTGGCAGTGAGCTTCTTGGGTGTGTGGTCATGGTGGGGTTGGGGAAATGTTATTCTAACAGGAAGAAAAGTCCCTTTAGGGCAGTGACTGTGGCTCAGTGGGCAGGGTGCCAGCCCCATACACTGAAGGTGGCAGGTTCAAACCTGGCCCCGGCCAAACTACAACAAAAAAATAGCTGGGCATTGTGGTGGGCACCTGTAGTCCCAGCTACTTGGGAGGCTGAGGCAAGAGAATTGCCTAAGCCCAGGAGTTGGAGGTTGCTGTGAGCTGTGTGATGCCGCAGTACTCTACAGAGGGCGGTAAAGTGAGACTCTGTCTCTACAATAAAGAAAAGAAAAGTCCCTTTCGCCTGATTAGGGGACTCAGGCAATTCCTCTCCATGTTCTTCCTGAACCAGACTGGGGTGGGGCCTATGATCGCTGATGTTCTGGGGGTGTGCTGAGGTTGGTCAGCTCACTTTGAGTGTAGAGGCTTGGAGGTGTGCTGGAGACGACCAGCATCACTTGTGTGAATGTGGACAGCTGTGAACCTGTTTCTCTTCTCCAGGTGCTTGCCAATGGCACCATCCTAAACTGCCTCACCTCCCTGAGGAAGGACAACACGGGCTATGACCTGAAGCAGCTCTTCATTGGGTCGGAAGGCACCCTGGGGATCATCACTGCAGTGTCTATCCTGTGTCCACCCAAGCCCAAGTCTGTGAACGTGGCTTTTCTCGGTTGGCTTCCTGGAGTTACTTCTGGTGGTTGGTGTGAGGGAGGGGCGTGAAGAGCTGCACAGTACAGCCGCTATGTCTCCTGGCTTCTCCCTATTTCCAGAGGAGGCTGAGAGCCCAGGGCCTGTAGATACCTGGTATCTACAGAGGGAAAGTGGGGGACCAGAAGCTTTTCCCCAGTTTCTGGTCAAAGCATACTTTATTTTGTGACAAAACTGAGGTTTTGGTTGTCTCTTTCACCCCATTGTGTTTGTTATTCAAAAGTAGCTTGTAGTGTTAAGATCTGAGGAAAATTACTTCATTTGGCATAAGTTCTCTTAATTGTCTCAGCGATAAGTAATATTCTCCATAAGGGTGGAGGAGGGTTACCACCATCCACAAAGATTATCCAGTGGGCCCTCCCAGCCCACAGGCCCCCAGCCGCCTTCACATTGGACTTCACTGTGAGCTTATGCCCACAGCCTTCAGTCCTTCCACTGTCTGTATTCATCTCTTTTCTTGCCTTCGTTTGGCTTGGTTTATCTAGCATTTGCTCCCTCACTTGTTCAACTGCTGTACAACCCCCAGCCCTTCTGGAGGTACAGCAGACATCCTTGACTCACTAGGACTCATGAAGTCCATGCCTCTACCTTGTGGGAAGGTTCAGTGATCTTGGGGAGCATTCACAAGAATAAACTCTGTTCATCCTCACCCGCAATCTTACATGTTCTTCTTGTTGTGTGTGTTGATTCTGTTTTTTAAATCTCTCTAGCCGTAGTAATTTTTATTTTATGAGTGACTTTCATTCTTCATTGCATCAGAGCTTCCATTCGGGATCATGTTCTCTGCAAATATATCTTGATTATTTCCCATAGTACAGGTTTTCTGGTGACCAATTCTTTTACTTTTAGTGTGTCTGAAAATACCTTTTTTTCTTTTTTTGAGACAGAGTCTCAAGCTGTCACCCTGGGTAGAGTGCATGGCATCATAGCTCATAGCAATCTCAAACTCCTGGGCATAAGCAATTCTCTTGCCTCAGCCTCCTGAGAATCTGGGACCACAAGTGCCTGGCACAATGCCTGGCTATTTTTTTTTGTTACAGTTGTCGTCGTTTTAGTTGGCCCAGGCTGGGCTTAAATCCACCATCTTCGGTGTATATGCTCTACCCACTAAGCTAAGGGTGCTGCCACCAAGCAAGTTTTTTTGGAGATGGGGTCTTGCTCTTACTCAGGCTGGTCTTGAACTTGCTAAGCTCAGGCAATACACCCACCTTGGCCTTCAAGATTGCTGGAATTACAGGCATGAGCCACCATACCTGGCCTTCTGGAACTTCTTAAATGTGTGGCTTAGTGT